AACCAACCTCAAGGAATACATGGCATCCCATAATGATCCATCATGCCTTCCTTCATCAAGGCAGAGCCATTTCCCAGCCCTCCGGATTTCACGTCCCTTTTCAAATAACAATCAAGCACACAATGTGATCTTACCGTGATACTTATCTCCTGCTTTCACTAAGAATAGTCTAGCTTGTGTCCATTAAATTACATTTTTTGTGGCCTTTTTTTTTTTAAGGAGCTCCCTGCAAGTGGGATTATCACAGTGGAGTCGTTTTTATACCTCAAAGGAAAGGGTCTTCTAGTCTAGCTCTAAGAGGACACTCTGGAACTTCTTTGTATATTGACAATATCTCTACCAATCCAGAGATCAGAAACCGAAAGACTCTTTTCTAATAAACTAGTTTGATCCCTGGGTTGGGAAGATTCTCTGGAGCAGGAAATAGCAACCCACTCTAGTATTCTTGCCTAGAAAATTCCATGGACAACGGAGCCTAGTGGACTACAGGCCATGGAGTCACAAAGAGTTGGATGCTACTGAGCATGCACAACAGAGCCTAATTTAAATCATATAAGAGTATGACCAAAGTCAGTCTCAGTATAGAACATTACAAGCTCAGTGCCTTATTTCCAAGTGACCTAAACAGTCTTAAAAACAAGTGGGAAAAGCAGACAGACATGAAAGCCTCCTTTCACTAGTTCTTTCCTTGCATTTCCCACCCATACCCACCTAGTGTCCAGACCTTTATTCTATGCCCAGATCTGGCTGATGTATATGGAAATAAACTCTCCCAACTTTTATTCACTAAGACCAATTGAGCTTATTATATGATCTCAGCTCTTGTTCCAAGAAAACCAAGATCAATCTCAAAAAGCAGTCTTCTGAACTTGGCAGACACTTGTGTGGGAAAGTCTTTAAACAAAAACAAATTTGTTGATGTACTGGGACAAGAAACTCAGAGAACAGATAAAATGTTCCATGAGCCAACTCTGCCCTCAGCTTCAGCATTCATACTTTTCTCAGCCAACAGTCCCTCTTCCACTCTATAGATGAAGCCAACTCATCAGCTTATCATGATTAGGTCAAATGCCTTTACCAAAAGACCAAAGGAACACCAAGACTATCATAAAGAGAATCTCCAACTGCAGAAATCCCGGGCTGTAGTACATAAAGAAAACATCTAATCAACAAAAGGAACAAAGAAAGGTATTGACAGCAAATGATACAGTGAGATGGTTTCTCTGATTCCATATATGTCAAACAATTAATTTCCCCTGGCCACATTTCCCTCTCCTTAAAGGTACATAGAGAAGGTTCCTTCTGTCTTTGTTACAGTGAGTGACAACGCAACAAAACTTGCTCAGTTCTGCTTCAAAATAGAAATACAAATAAAGATTAGGGTTCCCCAAGGAAGGAAATTGCTTTTCCTTTCCCAAGCAACAAGTGAAGGAGACAGGGAGACGAGAGTTCTGGAGAATATCAAAATAGCTGCAGTTTCCTGGGCAAAGGAAAACTGTATTGTTTAGGCATAGCCCCATGCTAGGGAAAGAGATACTGTTAAGAAAACTGATCTTATAAAGGACTAAGGCAGTCAGAAACCAGAGTAAACCCTTTTATACCCAGTGGAAAACACTGGAGGCTCTTGACAACCTAGTGGATTAATTTATTCTTCAGAACATAATGGAGACCTCTAGAATTTGTACCTGTGTGCCTCTTTTCCCTCTGTGGTTTCTTGGAGAATGGGAGCTTAAAAATGGCACATGGGAGCCAGAACAGAAGATGAAAGTAGGTCATATAAATCTCAAGCACAGTGCTATATATTTTCTGTGCCTTGAATTTTCTTGGGTGGTTTTTCTCAAGAGTTAATAAGAGTAGATCTCAACAAATAGCCACTAAGATGCTCAGACTTGCTTGCCTACCTGCCCTACATTCTGAGCAAGACAGTTCTTTTCTTCCTCAGAAGTCCCTGTTTCTATTGATGGAAATCAATAATAAAAATTAATATCAAGTCCAAAGTCACTCTATCCAAGCAGAAAGCTTTATTTCCAAGGGGGCTCAAGTGCTTCCTAAACACCAGTTCTAAGATTCAGAATTCTGATTGGTATGTAAGTAACAGGATAGATTTATCTTCTAAATGGGCTTCTCTGGTAGCTCAGCTGATAAAGAATCTGCCTGCAACACAGGAGACCCCAGTTCAATCCCTGGGTCAGGAAGATCCCCTGGAGAAGGGATAGGCTACCCATGCCAGTATTCTTGGGCTTCCCTGGTGGCTCAGATGGTAAAGAATCTGCCTGCAATGCAGGAGACCTGGGTTCGATCCTTGGGTTGGGAAGATCCCCAGGAGGAGGGCATGGCAACACATTCCAGTATTCTTGCCTGGAGAGTCCCTATGGACAGAGGAGCCTGACGGGGTGCAGTCCATCGGGTTGCAAACTGTTGAACATGACTGAGCAACTAAGCATAGCAGAGCACAGAAACTAGCCCAACATCTGGGGCTTCCCTGGTGGTCAGAAGGTAAAGAATTTGCCTGCAATGCAGGAGACCTGGGTTCGAACCCTGGGTCGGGAAGATCCCCTGGAGAAGGGATCTTCTAAATATCAATGTCTATGTTTAAACCAAGAATAGGCCCAGGAACTTCCCTAGTGGTCCAGTAATGAGAACTCTGTGCTCCCAACACAGAGGGGCTGGGGTCCAGCCTTGGTCAGGAAACTAGATCCCACATCCTGCAGTGAAGATCTCCATGTGCCACAACTAAGACTGGCCCAGCCAAATAAATAAATATTTTTTTTTAATAAGATTTTGTGTAAAAGAAAAAAAATAGGTCCAACCAATAGCGGAAGGATTAGAACATACAATTTAAAGTCCCATCAGTATAAGTCAGGGCCATTATGTCAGTGCTACAAAGAAATGATGTTAACTAATTAGGTAATCACCATTAATGCAGGTCCTGATGTGATGGCAGGCATCGTTGTTGTCCTAATGATTCATGCCATTCCTCTGAGTCAAGACACAAAGCTATTGTCCACTCATGCCTGATAAAATTAGGAGAACCCAAAAGACTGATATTATTTCCCAGGTTCTCAGATAACAGTAATACTCTTTGTTTTCTGTGAGTAAACGAGTCTCTCCAAAGAGAAACGCATCTAGTGTAATTTGTTCCCTTGTGTCTTTTCACAAAATAGGGACTAAACGCACCCTGTGGAGCTTACAGCCCAGAACTTGCATTTTCCTAACAATAGCATGCTTCAGTTCATTGACAACAACAAATTGTTAATTGTGGAATAATTTCTCTTGTATTTTATAGAATTTGAGTGTTATAGTTAATAATAATGTGCCAATATTGGTTCATAATGTAACAAATGGACCTCACTAACACAAATATCAAAATAGAGACAGAATTGATAGGGGAGGAGAGGGCATTTATAGGAAACCTCTCTACTTTGTATCTACTTTGTATCTACATTTGTATCTACATTTGTATCTACTTTGTATCTACATTTTTCTATAAACCTAAAACTATTCTAAAAATTAAAACCTATTTTTTAAATAGGCAATTGTCTGAACAGATGACTCATTTAAAAAGATATCAGATAGTAAGTAAGTATATCAACAGATGTTCACCATTATTTGTCATTGGAGCTTTGTAAATTAAAACAATAATCATTTACCACACATATACCTATTAAAATGGTTAAAATCCAGATAGCTGAAAATGCCAGTTCTAGAGAAAATATAGAGCAAGAGGAACACTCATTCATTGCTAGTAGAAATGTAAAATGGCATAGCCAGTTAGGAAGACAATTTGGTTATTGATTACGAAGGTAAGTATTGTCTTCTCATTCAGAGATCTTGCTCTTTGGTTTTTACTGAACTTATTTAAAAACTTTTGTCCACACAAAAACCTGCATCTGAATGCTTATAGTAAGTTTATTCATAGTTATGCAAACTGAAAGTCACGAAGATATCCTTCAATGGGTGAATGAGTTAATAAGCTAATACATCCACACAATGTAACATTATTCATTGATAAAAAGAAATGAGATACCAAGTTGCAGAAGGTATTGATGAACTTTATACATTCATAAGTGAAAGAAGGCAGCTTGGGAAAGGCTATATACTTAATAAATCCAATTATATGACATTCTGAAAAAGGTAAAGCTATGAAAACAGTAAAAAAAAAAAAAAAAAAAATCCCTTGTTGCTGCCAGGTTACAACATCAGGTGTTTCCTGGATGAAATCTGAAACTGACTCTAGCACGACTAGAGAGCAGATGAATAGCACATCTGACCAGAGAACAGCTCATATCTCTCTCCTGGTCATTCCCCTGTTGCAGGAATTTTATGAAAAAATTATATACAATAGAATAAACATTAATTACTCATATATTAAGTTGAAGTTTTCTAGGTCACAATTAGAAACTTAGCAGAAGAACATGTCTTACAACTTCTCTGCTTCTAGATTTGATTCTTTGTACTAGAACTGAACTATTCAAAGCTGAAATAACTAAAAATGAAGAAAAGTAATTTAAAAGAAAATATATAAAGGATATTGTCAATTTAGCATCATAAAATATAAATTATACAGGTAAATACTATATGGTTTAAGATCAATATCATGCCTTTGGGCTTTAACTCTTAAGGCTAACAATTTTTTTGCTAGATACTTCCAAAATATAAATTAGTCAGATAATGTATGATGATTGTATTTATATTCTATGAGAGTGAGAGTATTCATGGGTATGGAAAAAATCTCTTCCCTTTCCAAGATAATTTTATGTATTTAAAGAAAAGTTTCAGGTACTGGACAAAGTTCCAGAGTTAAAATGTAAATGTGGAGAACTTCCAATTTAAAATGATACATAGGCTTTTGCCGTCGTCGCCACCGTTTTGCACGAGGCGTCCTGTTGGGAAGAGCTGGAGGGAGGCCTCTGTACCCGGTGCCCTGGGAACCAGTGAACTAGACTCAGCGCAGAGAAAACAAGGGCTGCCCTTGCTCTTTCACTAAACTGGAAGTAACGATGGAGAATGCTACTGTTGACCCCGGAGGTTGGCAAGGACAGCAAAAAGCTGGTGCAGCCACTACACCGTGTACAGAGGTCAAGAGGACAGCACTACTGGCGAGACCACAGGCAGGACTGCTGGGGTTCCGACTTGTTCACAAGTCCCCACTGTCCCCAGGCGTCCAGCACCGTGGGGGCCAACCAGAGGCAGCAGACACGCACCCCACAGTCCTCCAGGTGAAGAAGCCTGAGCTAACAACCTCTATGTCAGTTGAGACCGGCCAACAGCCAGTACACATGAGGAAGACCAAGTGGAACTGGCAGATGATTACAGCCACGTGTATGACTCTGGAAGCAAGAGCAGGAATGTCAAGCTAAGTCATCCCAACCACCAGCCCAAGGACCAGTTGCTGTGTGAAAGTACTTATTTTTGAGAAGGTTTATCATGTAACAGTAGACCACTGATGCCTCAAGAAGTAGTGTCTCTCAGAAAGACTTTGAAACAGTGAACAGTATGTTCACCCTGCAAGCCCATAATATCTTTTAACACAGTGTGTGGACTCAGTTTCCTGAGAAAGTGCAGTTGGGCTTGTGTTGGATTTAGCGGTAGGTGTTGGGTATTATAGCTGTTCAGATAAACCTTAACCCTGACCACACTACAAGCCTGGCTGGCCATAAGCGGTCCTACTTCCAGAAAGACAGCAGGCTGCTTAGTGTCTGTCTGAGTGGGGCCTTTTGAGAGATTCTCTGCACAAGGTATCACATGTCACTCATGGATGGTTTCCTTTGTTAAAAGGAAAAAAATCTACTCTTCAGTTATCCTTTCTGGCACATGCTATAAAGAAAGCTGTGCACCAAAGAATCAGTGCTTTTGAACTGTGGTGTCAGAGAAGACTCTTGAGAGTCCCTGGGACAGCAAGAAGATCCAACTAGTCCATCCTAAAGGAGATCAGTCCTGAATATTTATTAAAAGGACTGATCCTGAAGCTGAAAGAGGAGAGTGAAAAAGTTGGCTTAAAGCTCAACATTCAGAAAACTAAGATCATGGTATCCAGTCCCATCACTTCATGGCAAATAGATGGGGAAACAGTGGAAGCAGTGGCTGACTATTTTTCTGGTCTCCAAAATAACTGCAGATGGTGATTGCAGCCATGAAATTAAGATGCTTACTCCTTGGAAGGAAAGTTATGACCAACCTAGACAGCATATTAAAAAGCAGAGACATCACTTTGTCAACAAAGGTCTGTCTAGTCAAGGCTATGGTTTTTCCAGTAGTCATGTATGGATGTGAGAGCTGGACTATAAAGAAAGCTGAGCACCAAAGAATTGATACTTTTGAACTGTGGTGTTGGAGAAGACTCTTGATAGTCCCTTGGACTTCAAGGAGATCCAACCAGCCCATCCTAAAGGAGATCAGTCCTAGGTGTTCACTGGAAGGACTGATGTTGAAGCTGAAACTCCAGTACTTTGGCCACCTGATGCGAAGAGCTGACTCATTTGAAAAGACCCTGATGCTGGAAAAGATTGAAGGCAGGAACAGAGGGGATGAAAGGGGATGAGATGGTTGGATGGCATCACCAACTCAATTGACATGGGTTTGGGTTGACTCCAGGGGTTGGTGATGGACAGGGAGGCCTTGTGTGCTGCAGTTCATGAGGTTGCAAAGAATAGGACACAACTGAGCAACTGAACTGAAGCTGAAACTCCCAGTACTTTGGCCACCTGATGCAAAGAGCTGACTGATTTGAAATGACCCTGATGCTGGAAAAGATTGAAGGCAGGAGGAGAAGGGGATGACAGAGGATGAGATGGTTGGGTGGCATCACTGACTCAATGGACATGAGTTGGAGTAAGCTCCAGGAGTTGGTGATAGACAGGGAAGCCTGGCATAGTGTAGTCCATTGGGTCACAAAGGCTCAGACACAACTGAGCAACTTGAACATTCTTCCCAGTTCAAGGAAGGGAAATGAGTGAGACTGCCCTGGTTAGCTTCACATGTCTCAAAGGAAAGGATACATTTGATCTCAATGAACCAGAACACTGGGTTTTTTAAGGTCAAGAAAATCAACTTAATGTGTTGCAATTGGCATTTTTAAGAAAGGTATTTGTACACTCATGTTCACTGCAGCGTTATTCACAACAGCCCAGACAGAGATGGAAGCAATTCAAGTGTTCATCGACAGATGAATGGATAAACAAAATGTATTTATACACACAGTGGAATATTATTCAGCTTTGAAAAGGATGGAAATTCTGGCAAGGGCTACAACATGGATGAACTTTGAGGACGTTTGTGAAATAAGCCTTTCACCACAAAAAGCAAAATCCCCTTGTATGAGAAATCTATAGAGTACTCAGATTCATAGAGACAGAGTAGAATGGTGGTTGCCAGGAGCTGGGGTTGAGGGGAAGAGGATTATTGTTTAATTGGGACAGAGTTTCAGTTTGAGATGATGAACATGTTCCAGATGGTGGTGAAGATTCCACAACAATGTGAATGTACTTAATAGCACAGAACTGTATGCTTAAAAATGGTGAACTTTATGCCTTGTATATTTTACCTCAATAAAAAATCAGAATGAAATAGAATAAAAAAAAAATAAAATAAAATAAAATGATACATAGCACCTAATTAGGTCTTTCCCAGTTTCTCATAAAAATAACTTTGAAGACAATCCTAGTTTAAGGAAATATCCTGTGGAAGTACAAAATTATTCAAAGATAAATGTATAAAGATATTCACTGGTGTGTTCTTTGTTTAAAAATAATTAGAAGTCACCTAAATGTTCATCAAAAACCACATATTAAAATAAGCTATGTAATACCAAATGAATGGATTAATTTGTGGCTTTTATAAATGTTGAAATTAGTATACATTGACCGGAGAAAAATGCTCATTACATAACAGAATTTTCAAAATGTTGGAATAGAATCTATAGTATGTTCCCTTTTAAAAATTAATAATCACAAGATATGTATATACTTTGATAAAGAAAAATTCTGAATATTTGCCAAAATTATAGTATACTTTCACTTTATTTTTTACTTATTCATTTATTTTTTAACAGCTTTATGAAGTAAAACTTCCATGCCATAAAACCTACCCATCTAAAGTGCATCATCCAATGACTTTCTATATTTGTGAAGTTGAATAAAAATCACCCTAATCTAATTTTAGAATATTTTGTCACCCCCTCAAAAAAAACCTCATACCCATTAACAGTCACTCCCTGTTTCCCCTCTCCCAACTGACCTACACAAACACTAATACACGTTCCATCTCTATGGATTTGTGTATTCTGGACAGTTCATATATATGGAATCATACATTTTTTTGGTATCTGTTTTGAATAGTGTTTTCAAGGTTCAGCCATGTTTTCACATGTATAAATACTTTATTCCTCTTCCATTGTATGGATATATCACAATTTGCTTACCCATTTGTGAGTTAATGAACATTTAAGTTGTTTCTACTTTTTGGTCTTTATGACTAATGCTGTTATGAACATTTGAGCTCATTTTTATATAGATTTCATTACTTTGGGGTAGATAACCAGGAATGGAATTGCTAGGTCACATAGTTACTCTATACTTAAATTTTGAGGAATGCCCAAGTTGTTAACCATGGCAGCTACTATGAGAATTTTACAGCAGTGTATGAGGATTCCAATTCCTATATTACTTGTCTACATTGTTATTGTTCACCCTTTTCTTTTTTTTTCCATAACCATCCTAGTGAATATAAAGTGGTATCTCACACTTTTATTTCCATGTCTCTGGTGACCAATTATATTAAGTATCTTTTCATGTGCCTATTGGCTATTTGTGTATCTCTGGAGAAATGTACATCAAAAAAATTCGCCCATTTTTAGTTAGGTTGTCCTTTATTGATAATTTGTGATAGCTTTTTTATATATTCTGGATACGGAATATATATGATTTGCAGATATTTTCTCCAGTTCTGTGCATTCTTTTCACTTTTTTTTTTTTGATGGTGTTCCTCTGCAGTACAAATATTTTTAAATTCTATTAAGGTCCAATTAAGCTTTATTTTTCTTTTCCCACTTGTGCTTTTAGTGTCATAACTAAGAAATCATTGCATAATCCAAAGTTACAAAGACTTCCTAATGTGTTTTCCTCTAAAAGTGTTGTGTTTTTACCGAATACCTTCAGGTATCTAATTAAGTTAATTGTTGTTTGCAGTGTAAGATGGGAGTCCAACTTTCTTCTTTCACGTGTGAATATCCAGTTGTTGCAGCACCACTTGTTAAAAAGATGACTCTTTTCACAGTGACTAGTCGGCACTCTTGTCAAAAATCAGTTGATCACAAATTTAAAGCTTTATTCCTGGACTCTATATTTCTATCTTCATGCCAGTACTATACTGTCTTGATTCTGTAGCCTTATAAAAAGTTTTAAAATCAGGAAGAGTGAGTCCTCCCATTTTGCTATTCATTTTTAAGATTGTTTTGGCTATTCAAGTTCCCTTGCATTTCCATATGCATTTTAAGATCAGCTTGTCAATTTCTGCCCCCCCCCAAAAAGCACTGGAATTTTGATGAGGATTGCATTTAAATTATACATTAAAATGTTCCTATTTAGAAAATGAATTCTACCAAGCCAACTATATGAAGATACTAGTTGATATTTCAGCAGGAAAATGTATGTTCTGATCTAAACCAAGGCAGATAAACCTCAGAACCCTCAGCTTCAACCTTGACAATTGCCCAAGTTCTTGACTCTAGGCACTCCTGCCTTTTGAACTTGAACTTCATTTTAGTTTCCCTGGTTTCACCTACTCTCAACAGATGACTTGCCTCACTTCTTTAGTTCTTGTCCTGTTTTACACAGTGTTTATCTCCGCATCTCTGCACCTAGCTTAAGGAGGAATTGAATTGATGCTGATTTAGGGAGTGATAAGGATGGGAAAGAAATCTCTGTGAAGGAAGAAATCCTGGCCACCTGCTCCAGGGCTCACCCCACCAAAGTAGCAGTTTTCCTTTCAATTTTTTAGTGTATTTTTCTCTTAAGGAAAATACTGATACAACAGCTTCTCATCTGCAGGATAATTAGAACAGTCTTGGAGATGCAAGTAAGCCAGGGAGGCTCCTTCATCAGGCAGAATCAGGGAAACCCTGCAGGTTGCCAAATCATACTTTAATAACCCCTGAGCAGCATAAGAGCTCAGATAGAAAATGCCTTCCTGGTGCCATTAAGAGATTTTTAAGAAATAACCTAAATGTCTATCAATGGCTGAATGGATAAGGAAGATGTGATGTGTATATACAATGGAACATCGTTCAGTTGTTAAAAAAAAAAAAAAAAAGAAGTGACAACATGGATGGAACTTGAGGACCCAACGTTAAGTGAAATAAACC